TAAAATAGACAAGAGTATCTCGGCTCTCTATGAGCTGAGGGGTAAAAACATTATCTACTATCTGTTCTTGTTTACTAACTGGAGTTAAGAGATTTGTAGCGCTTATATCTGAACTATTTTTCAGACCGGCAGCACTGAGCTTTGAGAATTGTAGGCTATTGCTGCCATTAAAGGCACTATATAGATAATGTGACTGCTTGATCAAGGCCACAATAAGGAACTCCACTGTTTCTTGTATCCAATCCAAACTTTTACTGGTATTGATTTGTCGGGCCAATGCACTGTTGCATTCTTTTTAAATTTAGGAAAGAATATTACAGTGGGCAGTGCCTGTTCCATTATTATCCTCTCTGTCAAATTACATTACACAGTAGGTAATTATGCAAATTCAATTATGGACATGTATAAAGCAATTAAAATGGATGTCTAGGTTAAATATAGATAGATAGATAGAAACGCAAGTGTTTAAGGTATAGATTTCCTTTACCCAATTCTTACTCTGTATTTTGAAAGGATCATTCGCTCTCACAGCCAGAAACACCGAACATACAAGAGTACAGTAGTTGGAATGGAAAAGGGCTGCTAAAAAACTGTCAGAATCCCCCAGAGTCCTTGTCCCTGTAGATTCCATCTTTTTCAAAACCATGGGCATCACTTCTCTGCTGACGATTACTTTTCCCCACCTCTGTTTAGTCTGCCTCTTTCTCTGATGTTTCCTGAAGCTTAATATGTTCAAAACTAAACTATGTTTCCATCAAACCATCTCTTTTCTGGCAACACTACCATTTTCTTCTACCTAATTTTTGCCTAAGAATCTGCTCATATCCAGACCTTCACCAAATCCTCTACAGCAGGGGTTGCCAACCTGAGCCTGAGAAGGAGCCAGAATTTATCAATGTACATTGCCAAAGAGCCACAGTAATACATCAGCAGCCCCCCCCCCCCCCCCCCCCCCCCGACTCCCAGCACCTCCCGCCCACCGGCAGCTCCATTGATCAGCGCCTTCCCCTCACAGGGCCTGTGGCAGAGCCAGGGGTTGAGCAGTGAACACCGCGAGGCTCATTGGAAAGTTAGAGCTTGTAGCTCCAGCCCCGGAGTCCGTGCCTATACAAGGAGCCGCATATTAACTTCTGAAGAGCCACATGTGGCTCCGGAGCCACAGGTTGGCCACCTCTGCTCTACAGTGTCTACAACGAGGGCCGGCCGCCCCAAGCAAAAAAAAAAAAAAAAAAAAGCCACGACCGCGATCGGCGGCAGCAATTGGGAAAAAAAACAAAAACAAAAAGCCGCGATCGGCGGCAGCAGTTCAGCGGCAGGTCCTTCGCTCCTAGAGGGAGTGAGGGACCTGCCGCCCCCGAATTGCCGCAGGTGCCGCCCCTCTCCCTTGGCCACCCCAAGCACCTGCTTGTTAAGCTGGTGCCTGGAGCCGGCCCTGTCTACAACATGTATTTCTTTCTCTTTAACCCTACTGTCAAATCTGTAGACTATGCTCTAGCTGTATCCCAGCTGTATTACTGCAACCTCTCTTCTCTCTGGACTCTACTTCTCATCCCTCTTATCTTACTGCTTTTCTGACAACAGCTTCCCAATTCTTCTACCTCCGCACTAGTTTCCTCTATTCTTCCCATATAAATAAATGTCAGACTTCTCTTCTCATTCAAAGAGCTCCATATCTCCACCCTATCTCTCGGTCCATAGTCACCTTTTACAATACTCCTTACATGTCATCCAAGCGTCCCTCTTGACTACTCCCTTCATCCCCATTTCACCTTCTTGGTGTCTTCCATGCTTCCCTTTACATTTGAAACATCTTTGCAATTATCCAAGTAAGGACAACAACCCACTTCCCTTTGCTCCTTGAAAATAGACCTGAGAACCGATCTGTTCCACAAAGCAATCTCGCTGGAATGGCTGCTTGCTGGTCTACACCTTATTGTTCTGTATGGTCTCTAAACTCTTCTGCACAAGGATTCTGAGCATTGTTTGGCACACAGTAACTACTGAAGAACGCTGTGTCCATTTGTGGTGCAATATAAATAGCAGCAGCAACAATAATAATAATAATGTTTCAAGTCCAGGTCCTTAAGAGTGCAGGGCATAGTCCCACAGAGGAGGACATATCTCAGATATGGTTCTGATCCTTCACTTAATCTTAGCTGAAATGATGAGTTGCTTCAACAACACTACACGCAACAACACACCATGTGTGTAAGAGAGCTTAGCTTAAAGGGTTTTCAGCACTGTGATGCCATCCTCTCCCACCTCCAGGCATCCTCATTTAAGCCTCACTCCTGTTCCATCGGTACATCCCCAACTGTGGTCTGTTGGCTTGGCACAGAGAGTCTAAGGGCAGGTTTGTACCCTTTCCATTAAACGACAATGGCAGCTCAAGACAATCTTTATTAAAATCTAGTTACTGAGAGCTTTGGGAGAATAGCCAAGGTATACAATGTTACATCCTTCCTGAAATAAACTAGCACAAAGGGCTTGTTTGAATTGTTTTATGTACAGGTTTGCATAAGAGATATATAGCCTAAAAGGCAGGTAGGATCCCTTTCTCTCTTTGACTGATTGATAAATTATAGTATCCCTTTCTTTTCACCTCCTCTTGTGGTGCAACTTTGGCCACCACTTCTATGCAGACGGGCACTCTGCTTCTGTCTCTCAATGACATTCCCAGCCCTCCTTTTTCTTTGCATCTTAGATCTCTGGTACCGCTCCATCTTCTTCCAGTTTAGGGTCAAATTCTGTCACCAGTCACACTTATGCTACCCAACTAGATGCAAAGAGTTTGGAGGCCATTGGCTTATATAGGTTTTGTGGTGGGGGTGGAGGGAGTCTCCAGATAGGATGTCCTCTTCCCTACCTCCTGGGCTCGAGAACTTGGGGTCTAATCTGAAGACAGCAATCGGTGTCCATTGATCCTGATCTTTCCATTAGCTACCGTATTTGCAGGCCCCGTGCCTTGACTCTAAGAGCTTGTCTACACTTAAGAGTTGACACAGATTATGGTAATTTAAAGTGCAACAGCTTTTCCTGAATAACTCCATGTGCAGACACTGTTGTTCCAGAATAAAAATATCCATTCATGGAGTTAATCAGGATTTCTTAAGCAGGAAAAACTTTGTTTAAACAAGTCCTAACTCTGCTTAAATATTAATCATTGCCATCATCACTTCCCAACTGAACGAGTGAAACCTACCCAGCCTGCAACTGAGAGCTGGTAAGCAAACTAGAGTGTCAGAGATCGGTTTGAACCAAAATTTCAGATTCAAACATTTCCAAACTTTAGAAGAATTCAAAATTGGGACCAAATCTGAATTTTGCACTTCAGGCCCTTTCTTTTAAATATGTTCCAAATATAACTGCTAGTATTTTGTGATGCACTGTAAGAAGGATGCTATAAAAAAATCGGCTGTAGTTTTAAAATCATTAATGACTACAAAGGCAGGTTGGAATGCACTGCATACCAAGTAAAATATACTATAGCTATAAACTAATACCCTGCTAAGCCTCTAAAGAAACTTTCCTGTGCGACATACGTGAAGCTTGACATGTTTTTCCTAACTGCACTGAGGACTAGATTATGGGGTTTTCTTCTCTCTCTCTCTCTCTCTCTCTCTCTCTCTCACAGCAAAAGTGTTATCCCCAGAGTAAGTGCAGATTGTGTTTATTTATGGCACTTTTGGCAGTTCATAGAAGGATAAATTAATTGAGCAAAGGATAACCAAATCATCTTAATCATTATACATTATATACACATGCTAAGTCAAAGTCAAAGTTCTAGCCACACCTCAGATATACCTCAGACAACACTCCAGTCCTTCTACCTGAGCCTAAATGAATTATCCAAGTATTTGATTTTAGTATGAAATGTACACTTAGTATAACAGGAAAAATATTTCAGAATACAATGCATAAGGCTTCTCCAGCTATCACTGATGTGTCTGGAATTGTTCATTCTGGCACACTCATTCACAGATTTGCACAACTGGAGCCATTTATTGGTACTCAAGTAAACAAGAGGTAAACATAAAAGCACTGAGGTGACTGTCTATGACAAATGGATTTTGTTAGATTCCCAAGAACTAGCTAGTAGAAAACCAAGGTGGAAAGATAATTGTTTCCCTCCAAACCAACTCAAGGCAATTTCTGTTACAATGGGACTCTGTTAAAGGCACAGCTATTTCCCCCAAACACCGTGTGCCTGCACCACATCAAATTTTAAGGTCATTTTGTCTTCCTGGGCATCTGATTTTCAGATTTTTAAAAATTGTGTGCTTTTATTTCTGAAAGAAGTTATTTATTCTGGTATTGGTAGTCACAGTATAAAAGTATAGAAAGCGGCTTGCTCATCTCCATCAAACTCCTTTGTTTGCTCCAAAACCTCACCAGTTAACCCCAAAAGAAAGCTTTAGAGATAGGTCAGAAAAATGCACCATTGCCATAAAACCCCTTCCAGATTTCAGTCACAGTTCATAGCAGTTACGTTTCTTTTCAGCATGCCTGTCCTAGTTTTTGCATCCCAACCTTGTATTCATTAGCCTTTAGTTCAGCTTGTGTGAACCTAATAATACAGCTATTGTATGCCAGGAGGGTTGGGTTCCCCCCCACCAACTGTCTGTTTTACAACATTGGTATAGCAAAATAAATAAATAACAGCAGTTTCTACAGTTTAATTTACAACAGCTCTGCTGAAAATCAGTTGCCTATTGTACTTCAATTCTTAGTTTAAACTTAACTTTGATGATCTACAGTTAACTTTTCAAGTATTTGTAGCTGTGCTTAACATACACTCTTTTTTCTTGCATGTAAAAAGAAAACAGCACAAGTATAATTTGGTACGATTTTCACTGGAAAATAACTTATAGATAATAAAACTTTACTCAAAAATGTGCTAGTGTGACAAGCAGGCTGCGAGCTGGCTGGCTGGATAGCAGCTGCAGTCTGAAGCATAACTTATTAGCAAACATTAGACTTTTCATTCATACACTACTTACGTATCTCTGCTAGACAAAGCTGCAGCAAGCATAATCCAAAAGTTGCACACAACAAGAACTTGCTCATTGTTTCTTCAGAGTTACTTTGCCAAAACTAAGGAGATCCTTGAAGGGTGTACAAATCAAAAAAGCCTAGTTCAGCCTGCAATCAATGAGCTCTGAAGTTTGCTGCAGTTTTTATTCGGATTCTAAAGAAATTGAAGCAGTGACATAACAGGGAGGGGGAGCTGAACCAAAAGTCACACCCATGTCGAAACAAAACTAGACAGAGCAAGGGGAGGGGGTGTGGGGAAGCTACTGAGTAAGCAGCTCTAGCAGGGTTTTAAAGAGGCACCAAAACTTTTACTCATGAGTGTAATATTACTGCTTCTCAGGGCCGCCCGGGGGGGGGCAAGTGGAGCAATTTGCCCCAGGCCCCGGGCCCCGCAGGGGCCCCCACGAGAATATAGTATTCTATAGAATTGCAACTTTTTTTTATGGAAGGGGCCCCCGAAATTGTTTTGCCCCAGCCCCCTGAATCCTCTGGGCGGCCCTGCTGCTGCTGCTTCATTGGAAAGTTTCTGCAACATCTCAGGAGTTAGCTGACTGACTTATCAACATCCACTCCCTTAGCCTGTTTAAAAACCTCTTTATTATAAGAGGCAGGAGAACATAAAATATCTGAGTTTTAGAAAATCACCAAAGCATCTACAACTCTCAGAACATTTCTAAATGACATTTTTCTCTTTCCATTTTCTCTCCCTCATTTTCAAGTGAATTTAGCACTGGTGAAAAAGCACTAGAGTGACAGCACAGGGGTATGGTGTCCACGTGAAGCACAGGTAGATTAGATTTCCTTCACACTTACCTTCTGCCAACATGCTTCTGTTCTGAACTGGAGAGACCACCACTGCAGTAAGTATGAGGGTACAGCTCAGTCTCCATGGCCCATTCAATTTGTGGCCTCTCTGCAGACATCGCCAACAAGAGAGGTAAATAGTGCCAGTTATAATGGTGGGTTGTTTTGTGTCAGAGACATCAGACACTCACTGGGAGCTGGGTTGAAACCAATGATTCCTTATTTTTATGGTGTAAGGGGGAAGGACTTTATTACCAAAAGACAATGGAAGAGTCAGTGAAAGTATGACACTTTCTATTTTCTATATGTGCATATTCTCATTGCAGTGTGGGGTTTTATGTTAATTTAATGAGGTTGAAAGGTGCCAATGAATGTTTATGCAACGTGGGCACTGGAAGTGTAAGCTACCACCATCCTGCCCTGTCCTGTTCATGCAGCACAGTCCATCCATACCTCCATCTCCCATCTGATGTCAGTTATAGTGGCGGCTCACATGAAGTAAACATCACTTTACTCAGCACTGGGCAGATACCACAATGCCCATTACACATCAACCTTTAACAACGAGGAGATGGCAATGGCTTTCAGTCACTATTGATAATATTTAGTCCTGCCTTGAGTGTAGGGGACTGGACTAGAAGACCTCCCGGGGGTCCCTTCCTGTCCTACGATTCTATGATTGATCAGGGCTAGATTTCAGTGAGCAACCTAGAGATTAAAGTTTCTGTATCATTTTACTATTGATACTGTTGAACCATCTGTTCCACACATTAAAGATCGTTTATATACATTTTTAGTTTTGCATAAGATAAACAATGGAAAAGTACAGAGCACAGGTTCTCCCAGCCACGGGCACTAAATCTTTACAGAACAAAGGAAATTTCAGGACTTGCACTTTTGAATGTGATTTGGGAAACAACACACTGTGTTTCAGGATGTGCCTGTAAAACTTAGCAGGAGACCCAGTGCTTTCACATACAGGGGAACAGCAAGTTCTCAATTGGCAAACAGAGGAGGGTTCAAGGACACTCTTAAATAGTCTCCAAAGGAAAGTGATGGAAGGTCCCAATCTGGGGCATCTTTCAAACTAGATTGGACAAATCCCTAGGAAATGTATTATAAAGCACTGGATTAGGCCAGGATGGTGAGAGACAATGAATGAACTGGATCATCTAATAGGTCTTTCCATTATCTAATTCCATTATATGAAACAGAAAATCCAGAGTGAAGTTAGGTTCTGGGAGTATTTACAAAGCAGACATAGTGAATCTACTGAGAGCAGTGACTGCTTTTGTAAACATTTCTAATAAATCATACTAAAAGATGGCTGGCTGCCCCTTCCTCAGCTAGCCCCAATTTTAGCAACAGCTCTAGAATATCTAATGGGACATGGTCAAAGTGGAAGCCTTTCCTCATATCATGCAGACTTTTAATTCTTATGTATCTTACAACTTCAAAGTTACACTTTAAACATATTTCACTGTGTGTATATATTGATTTCTCTTTGTTGAGGCATGTTTTCTAATCTTTTAATCATTCCCGTGGCTCTTCTCTGAGCACTCTCCAATTTATCAACATCCTCTTTGAATGGGGACACCAGAACTGGTCACAGTATTCCAGCAGTGGTTTCACTAGTATCAAATAAAATAACCTCTCTACTCCTTATTGTTTCAAAAGAAAATGTGTATTGTTCAAAGGCTTATAGCCTATTGTGGGTGTATTATATCCTGTATTTCTCCACTTGCAAAGCTAGACTGCCTTTGGACTATGGGCCAGATTATCAAAGGTTTAGGTGTTCTAGGATGCATAGAGACACCTAATGGGATTTTCAAAAATCTGGCCCTATGCGTCTAATTGGCTTCACTCATTGGAAGGAAAACATATAACTAATGTTGTAAAAACTCTAAAAAACTACATGAAACAGCTGTTTTTATACATAAAACATCACTGTTTTAAGGCCCAACCAGTGTTAGAAACAAAAAGCCAGCTCTTCAGCTGATGTAAATTGGAGCGTTCCATTGAATTCATAGAAACTATGGCAATTTACAGTGGTTGAGGATCTTTCTCAAAAGCCTTTTCCCTCTGGAAATGGGAATTCTTGGCTTTCTATTGGAATAAAGCTTCCACTTCTAGCCTCTATGGGTCCCAAGACAACAGATCATAAACCCGTCACTCATCTAGGACTGAATATTTTCTGTCCTGCACCTCAGAATAGTGTAATTTTGGGGAAAATTCCACACTGGGGTGGGGTTTGGTTGGAAAATATTTCTTTGGTAGATTGTTGTATGGGACTGTACAGGGATTTGGAATGTTATAAGTAGTCCAGGTGCATAGATGGATTAGTGCATAGTTCAAGAGAGGCAGTCAGAGGTACATGATAAATGCAATTTATCACATGGATGTCACCTAATGTGATAAACGGCAGAGCCAGGTGATAAATTGCATTTAGTATGTACTTTTTTTCACCTCACCTGCCCTCTGCCCACTAATTCATCTCCCTGGGACTTATTCTAACATTCCAAACTATTAAGCAGTTTCAAACAGTTGCTTTTAAACAATACCTGACACAAAACTATTTCCTTCTTTTCCACCCAAATGTGGAATTTCTCCCCCAAAAATACATTGGCCTGAGGCGTAGGTTGATCACAATTTAGCTCAGATTTAGGGTCCACAATGCTAGAGGGCTAGAAAAGGGAGCTTTATGACATCAGAGAAAGGAGTTGACTACCGTTTTAGTGGAACATGCAGCACTTGTGTTTAACCTGAGACAGCACCATGACATAGGCACATAAATACCCTGGGCCAGATCCTCAACTGATGTAAATCAGTACAATGCCATTGACTTTGATGGTGCTTCACTGATTTACCAGAATTGAGGATTTGGTCCCACGAAATTATTAGGTACCAAAAGGATATTTCTATAGGCAAATATTAGAGGTTTCTAAAATATATTTCTTAGAATTTTTTTACTCCCTCTGTCCTCTGTACAGTTGGATTCATGGCACTAAAAGAATTTGGCTACAAAGACAGAAAAACATCAAAATAACACAACTAAAAATGTTAAACTCTCTCAAACTTTTCTAAAATGGTTTTTCTGTAAAACATCTGGAATATGGTATAGAATGCAAAATGGTATCAAGTACTATAGAAGTTTTACCATTCATTCAAGTACCTGAATAACTCATTCTTTGTTTCATCATTCATAGTAATGTAGCCATCACCAATTCATGCTGATAAAACCATTATTATGGATTCTGGATATATTTTTGACCTCCAGTGAAACTGTGTATGTGACTTACAGCAGTATAAAATAGGATATTTGCACTGGGATCCTCTTATAGAGTGAAATTCTGGTGCCATTGTAGTCAATGGCAAAACTCCCATTGACTTCAATGGGGTCAGGATTTTACCATGGTATTTGTGTTATATGCATATAAAGATGTATACCGTAATGTGTATATTAGAGTTTGTCAAAAAAATTCAGTCAAAGTGGACTTTATTTATGGGAAATAATTTCCCCATGAAACAAATGTTTGCAACAAAAAATTTCCTTTCTGTTAAAAAAAAAGAGAGAGAGAGAGAGATTTTGTTGAAAAAAATGAAAGCCAAAAAATTTTCAGTTTTAACATAAAATTTTCCACTTAGCACCAAAACCTAAAAATATTTCAAAGAAAAAATATTTGTTGACATTTTTGGTGGGAATAAAAATAATTTCCCAACCACACACACACACAGTGTAGATGCACAATAGAACCCTCTTTGAGTGATCCCGAATACAGTGAAACTTTATTCAAAGTAGAAAAATAACATTGTTTAAGTGGGTTGCAGTGCACAATTTGTAACTGAACCTTAGCTTACAGTAAGATGTCCTGTGATTCAGAGTAAGATGGTTTCATTTTCAAAACCTTTTTTTACCCTTACCTATAATCACAGGGGGGTATTTTTAAATCTGTTTTGCTCCTCTGTTCCCACTCTGAAATCTTGTTTGCTAAATTTCAGCCTAGCTTTAATTGTCATGACTAATCCTGAAACAAGTTTTGTAATGGAAATGGTCCTAAAGTTTCATTGTAGGAAACACTGCTGAAGTGCACCTTTCCTTGGGCTCCAGGAGCTGACAGGGAGGGGATAACAGAGTCTGTGCTGAGTTAGAGACGCTGCTTTTTTGGCTTGAGGGCAAAGCACTCCCTTTGGAAGCTGGGCACCCAATTCTACTCCCATCAACCTTTTGTTCCCAGATGTAATTTACAGCCCATGTCCTGCTCAGAATTAGGAAGATGAACAATGCCCCCCCCCCCCAGTTGTTTACTTCTAAAAAGAAAAGCAACCCAGAATGGTACCTTCATGTTCAGCCTCCTCAGCTCTCAGTCTGCTTTGCTGCTTTGCCTCAGTTCTCCCAACC